AGAGTGAAAAATTTACGGAAATCGTCTGACACCATATCTGTATGAAAATCAAAACTGCTACGACTTGGCAAAAGTGCAAACTGCTGTCGGAGTCCGACATTCTTGTAATGGATATATCCTGACGACCACACAGTCGTAATCCACACACGTAATAAAAGGAACAACGGATGGGGAGTACAGGGAGAGGCAGCACGTTGCACAGTCATCACCGTTACACGAATGCGCAGGCGCACGCACTTCGGATAGTTATATACGCTTTTTACCCGTAAAATAGAAGTATGTAATTCATAGCAACTCTATAAAATAGTTCTATCCTATCACGACTATCAACGATCGAAAATATATTCCGTATAACTTAAGATCACACTCGATATTTCACTAAACTTCTATTTCCTAGTACGTTTTAACCAATCAGGAATAATGGAACAACTTGTTATGATATCCTAACCTTGTACACAAAGAAATTTTTCCTCGAATAAAAATCTATATACAAAACAAATAATAAGTTGTTACTGATATTATCGATAAGATTTTAAGAAAGATTTGTTTCCCTATCGTAAGAAGTATTCTTATTCTAATCTTTACTGACCTGATCCTCTATCAGCATGAACAGCGAATCCCAACGGTAGAAATCTGTACTATCGACCGACGCGCAGGAGCGCGGGAAATTTGAACGGGTGAAGACGAAATTACACCATTCAGTTATTCGTCAGGATGAATCAACAAATGATACTTGTCACACTAATAAATTAGTCAAATATTACCATCGCGAGGGTTCCCTGTTACTCCGAGCTATTTAGTCGAACCCTCCCTATTTTATACACACGACCACCATCATCACCACTATAATCGACGCTTCAACCCCTCGCGGGTACCACGATAAAATCGTCACGCTAGTTTAATCAGGAACCCGCAGGAAGTCCCATGTAAGTTCTCAACGAAACACACGTGGGTACGAATATGTTGAGCATCAGTGCACAAGCCAGCACTTGTCGCTTGTATACAGGTTATATCACTATTTTTCAAACGCATCCGTGATTCATTATCTATTTTTCAATGCAATGTCCTTAAACAATTTATAAATTTGTTCTCTTTAAATAATTTTTAATTGCGAAATGTTCGATGGAGTACATAACCCTTCGTCTCGATAGAAAAGGAATATAAATTCATTAATGACGGAGATGTAGATAATACTTGTTTACATAAGGTGTTATTAAACAATAAATTCTGATAGCTATTTTCAATTAAATTTTGTGAATTAAAACCTGTAGCTTTAATGAATTCAATAACAAGCCGAAGCATTATTCAAAATGGAGTACCTTAGACCAGCAGAAACACCACGTGTCTGAACCACGTGGTTGTTAGGTTATTTCACTTGGCAGGAGGTCGATAGAAGAACACGTTTTTCCGTTATATTTTTCATAATATAATATCTAAAGATCGTCAGAGCAACAGTGGTGTAACAAAGGAACAAAAATTCAGAGGAAAAGATGAACTACGTAGAAAACTACAAATTTATGTAAACGAAGTAATTTGCATCTTTGATTGATGTTACAAGGAAAAATGTTTAATAACTATATGGCGCAAAATGTTGCAAACCAAGTCCAATCTTTGTCCAAGTATGCCTATATCTCCAAGATAACAACGAATCCCTGTTTAAGATAACTACACTCGTCGGCTAACGGTAAATCTGCACTTTGAATTCTTGCACGAAGTACAGAATATTCAGAATTTTGTGAAAATACGTACAAGTCCCGGGGGGTTTCAAAGAAGAGATATTTAATAAGAATTCACGAAATTTAGAAAAGAGAATAAAAATATTCCTATCCGTTCATTTGAGAAAATAATCATTTTTAAGATAACTATAAAAATCACATCTTAATAAATTAAAACAAATCGCACACAACGCACCTGTAGCACACTGCTGATATTCCACACTGTTCACATAGCTGCTTCGTAACGATACCCTCTTTCCTCCGCTACAAACATTTGGCACAAACAAGCATCGATTGTTTTCCCTTTTTTCTTTTTCTTTAATTATTTTTTCCCGAAAGGTCACCTCAATCCAACACAAGTTACATAATTTTCCACTACAATGTAGGAACTAAGCGATTAGTTAACGCGCGCGCGGTGACACTGCCGACCGAAAGGCACGTTCTGACACGTGCTCGTACTCGAGGCTGTGGTACTGATCCGATCTCGCGCGTTTGCAAAGACGAGTAAGGTATGTGTACACAACTCACCTGTTATGGTACGTGGTGACGATTGTAATGCGAGTCGAAGGTTACATTAGCCGAATAGGAAAATATGAGACAGCCGGGGGAAAATCACGAGGAGGAAGTGAACACACGATCGACAGGCAACAATGACGCTCCCTCACGAGGGAAGGAACTGCACAGGCACACTGGGGAACAAGCGGCTCAATGAACACAACAAGGGGGAGGATGGTCGGCGGATGGACGAACGAACGAACGACTCGACTCGAGTCGAGTCAGCCTCGACACCCCGGGGCGTATCGGCGCCTATGGGCAGCGCCATATCCGACCGCGACACACGTTCGACAGAGAGAGAAAAACCGAGCGACAGAGAAGGGGAAGAGAGAGGGACGAAGTACACGAGGAAGACGGAATGATTCCAAGAGCCGAGGGAGAGAGGAGGGAGAGAAGATTTACGCAACCCTCTCTCGCTGAGCGAAAATCCACGTCGAGAGGCACGCTGTCGTCGATGCGTCGATAAGCCACGTAGTATCCTCCTTACACGCGCTTCACTTTTTTTCTCGATGTTTTTCCAAGAAACTGTGAAACTAACCTCTCTTTTTACCCCGCCAACGTTCACTCTCTCTCTCCCGCTTACGAGGTTAACCCTTGCTACGTACCACGCACACATACACAATATCACACCATCGCGTACGCGTTACACGACGTACCACGATCGTGAGCGCATATAAACATACGAAACGAAGCACTAGCAAACACACTTGATATTCGAATAATACACTACACCAGTAACTACGACGATGACGATGACGGCAGCAACGATGACGATTGAGCACACGACACGAACGAATTGTGAAACTCGGAGAACAAGGGGGCGAGTAGAGTGAGACAGCATGAGGTAAAAGATACGTGTAGGGGGTAAAGAGGGAGAAAGCGGTGAGAATGTGTGAGGGAGAAAGAAACGCGTCCTCTCCTCCGCACTGGTAATATCGATTCGGAGGGTAGGCTCGATGGCAACGACCCTACCTGGTTTGACGAAACGAGCTCAAAGCGCACGGTACATTTTTCAGCTTATCGACACCGCCCGGTTTTTCCCGATGACACCCGACTCCCGTAACAGCTCGTTTCTATCTATTACACGATAGGTTAGAAAATTTACACTATGCACCACGTCGACTTACCTTGGCATCCTGGGATGCGGCTGATTCGACGACGGGGTGAGAGCCTCTCCACCGAGGACGTGCGACTTCGTCCGTGTAGCGCTAGGACGCCATGTCATCAAGTCGAGGCGCGGACTCGGGGCAAATCGCGCATATACACACCGATAGAGAGAGAGGCGCACGAACACCACGTAGCTGACCAACCCGCTGCCTGCCGTGCTGAGAATTCCTGCTGCGCCACCGAACGGCCGTCACGGAACCTCGCCTACGCCCGCCTAGCGCCACGACCGTGCTTTCCGTCCGTGGTACCCTTCACCGCTTTGTAACGCTCGCGACACCCGCCCGTTTGCGCGCCCTCGTTCAACCGAACCACCGAAGCCGAGTCGCGCACAACCTCCCGCAATCCTGCCACCGCCACCAAACCGATACTCCCCACTACACCCTTCACCCTCTCCTTATACCCCCACCTTCTCACCCTTCTCGTCACGCACTCCTCCCTGCCCACCGCACCGCAACACCCTCTACTCCCTCGCGCCATCCTGCGCGTTTCGTCCTTCTCGTTTCCCCTCTTTTACGCTCAAACTTCTTCGTCTGTTTCCTACCCGCGCGTTCTATCTTTCTCTCTCCCACCGATTCTCCCACTCTTTCCTTAACCCGCAAGGAACGAATCGCCTGACAACTATCTCTTTCTTTCCAACCGTCATCTTCTCTTCTTATCTCCTTCGAAACCTAACAAACGCATTCCCTCGATTCGTCTTCCTCTTTCTTGCTCCTCACCCTCGATCACCCTCCAAAAAGGGCACTTATTTTCGCCCCTTTGTTCTCACGCTTGTGACCAACTTCTCCCTCTTTTTACCTTTCCTTAAACTTGCCACCTTCCCCTGCCTGTACGCCCTCGTTCCACGGGCTTCTTTCGCGAACACACCCTCTCCCTCTCCTACCTCCTAGCTACTTCTTACGTCGCGTTACTGCGCACTCGTTCTGGCAAAGTCGCCACGAGCTCGTGCAACTACTCCGCTAACTTGTTACCCATTGACGACGTTATGTGCGGTTCCAGTAGTTGCGACAGTCGCTTATCGCTTCTCGTATTATTTCGATAAAGGAAAATGCGGGTTAAAGGGGCACCGAGTCTCCGTTAAAAGTTTTTAAAATAGAGTCGTACGGATTACGTTATTAACTCGTGACGCGATATCACGTTTATCCTTCATTATGGCTTTTTTTACTTTGCATTTTTCCGATCGCTGATCGAATGTTTTTAAATATTAAAAAAAAAAAACAATTGACGTTCGTACCACGCGTTGAAAGGGGTGAAGAGGTGGACACGACGGTACCCCTTCAACTGGATGAACGAAAATAAGAAATGATCACAAATTGTTTTCGGGATGATCGAAGAAAATGAAATTCAAGGGGGTTGAATGTAAAAGAATTGGAAAGAAATTCACGAATGTGCCAAGACTGTTTGTAGAGGAGGTATGTTACGAGTTATACACGCAACCACGATTTGCGTCTGCGCACTTTTTTCTGTACAGACTCGCCAAGCAGCGGCGTAAGATAGAGCGAGACGGCCGCTCTCCGCCACGAGGCCGTTTCTCAACTTCTGAGCTGCAAATGTACAAGTACCAACCACATTTGCGTATCCTGGTAGTAGTTTGTCGCTGCTTCAGCTTCCGCTTCGTTTCTCGAGCCTTGTTGCGTATCCGTGGTAAGAATCCGTGCGTCGTCACGTTGCCATGGAAATAAACGCACCTTCGTCTGATTTCCTCGTTGAATCAACGTGTGTTGGTTGCGTGTCGTCACCGGAATCGTTGCGCTACGCTGACGGCACCTTGACACGTTTACCCCGACACGCGTATTCTACACCATCGCAATAATGTCGAAACGACTTCATTATCGTTGCTCTTATTACGCGTCGCACACTATCTCTATCGATACGATTTTGTTTTAATAGAAAACGAAAAAATCAAATCACCGATTGTTTCCCGCGCTTTTATTTGAACGCTCTTAAAGGTAACGACGTACCCTATATGTATATGCGAGCAACTAAAAACATGAATGAGGAAAATCGTTTGCTACGTATGTAGTACTTGAAAGAAAACAAGAAAACGTGTGTGCACAGAAGGTATAAACGCGTATCCAACACGAGGGTTGGTTAGAAGTAATGCGCGGGGCGCTGCCGCGGAAGGATCCCCTCGGATCTTTTCGGTCGACTGATAAAAAGGCTTGGAAGCTGCCTTGTCGCGATGGACGAGGCGTATACGGACAAAAAAAGTCGCTGGAAGGGGAAGCTCCGGAGAGTCTGAGAGTCGAGCAGGGGAGAACGGAGCACGCGGGAACGGAGGGATCATCTGTCGGTGGCGGAACTGGGGTGGGGGCGGTAGGCACGGCGGGGACGGTACCGGGGTAAAGAGGTAGGGACATACACGTAGACAACGTGGGTCGGGGGTGAAGGGGAGCTATCACCACCGCCACCGCCACCGCCGACGTCGACGACGCCGCCACGATGATTTGATTCCTCTGCTCGCTGCCTCCACCGCTACCGCCACTGTCACCACCGCTGCCGTTCTGCTGCTGCTGCTTCTGTTTCTGCTTTTGCTGCTTCTAGTGTCCTTGGTTTCGCTCTAGCAAAACTAACGTGCTAGTTCTACTACGTCGAGTTGCGCGTTTGGAGAAACTCGGCTGCCTCTCCTACTGCCAGCGCGCCCACGGCCAGGGCTGTATCGCTTGGGGCTGCGCCGTCCATTCTAATCTCATGACCTCCCTACTATGTATTCCTGCTTCTCTATTCCCGGCAAACGTATTGAAAGATCTAACAATCGATTTCGATTATCTCTTGAAACAGAGGAGACAATATAAAATGACACCTATCGCAACTGTTTTTTCTTGCAATCTGTTCTTACCCGATATAACCTTATCTTATCAGAAATCACGGTTTTCCCTAATTTACAACGTCCATGTTACGTTTGTACGCAAGATTCGACGAAATTCGAATTTAAAAAGAAAAAGAAGAAGAAGAAAAAAAAAAAGAAAAGAATCACGTCCCCGTTTACACATTTCCATGCGAGTCTATTTACTATACTGGCAATACGAATGCGCAACCTCATGAATAAACAGGGTGTCGATCGTAGTCCCTTGATCTTCGGCAGCCTTGAACCGTCTGTTCGTTGATAGCCGCGACATTCGGTCCGTGAAATGGCTGTGGAACGTCGTTCCTTCATTCGCGGCTAGAACAGGGCCCCAGCTAGTATCTAGGGAACTTAGAAATCCAGTGGAAACTAAGCCGAGTAGAAGGGATACTAGCGGAGGAGGTGGCAGCAATGGCGCGCCGCGCCGTGCGATGCCGCGAGGAGTAGGCAGAGAGGAGACGGCTGCCTTCATATACCAGGGAAAAGAGGACGGTGGAGAGGGTGGAGGGAGGACGGAGAGACAGAGTCGAGGAGTACTACACGTGTCGCTGCAGCGGGGTGTTGACCCCAAATAGCTTTTTTAACGTGACGTAACTACGAAAGGGTTGAGAAACGGCTAGCAACGTCGTTCGACGGCCAACCGACTTCTTAACTAAAGCCAAGCCCTTGCCTTGCCTTTAAGCCTCGTGGCTCTCTCCCCGTTATATCTATGGCACAACGATCCTTTCATACTCGAAAAGCCACTTGCGCGCTTCTCTGCCCGCCACCACTATGACCACAATGTTATAATTAAGATCAGGGATGTGCTCTCGATTTCTGTATATCTCAATGTACACTTGGCACCGAGCTGTCTCTAATATTGAGACAGACATATTTCAACAAATTGTAACCAAAGTAAAATTGATACAACTGTACTTCGATATGTTACATAAACTTCGAAAGAAAAGCATATAAAATTCTTTCGAAAGAAAAATTTGTCAATCGCAGCAGTTTCAATGCGTCGGTTGTGCAACATGTGAATACGGAAATTTGACGACTGTTTGCCCGCTTATTTATGTTGAGACTGCCATATGTGAATTTGCATTACAATTTACATACACTTTACCTTCTTAACGTCGAAGGTGGAGCGTTGCTAATCACATGGTCAAGGGTGACGGGATACAGCGTATTTTTAGCCTCCTTCTAACATCCTCCAATAACTTCTTTCTAAATTCAAAAAAAAAAAAAAATGAAGAAATAAGAAAGTCGTATAATTTATGATGTAATAAAAGATGGATCATTTTGAATTGATCGATAGCTTTTCGTTTGATTGGATAACAAAAATGAATACAAGGGACACGTGTAAGATTACCAGAAATAGTAATGGCTAATTTTTTGATAAGCCATCGAAGTCGATTTAAGAATCCAAATACCGAAAGGAGGTTAAGACGACACTTAACCCCCCGTCGCATATGGTTTCCAGTTGGAACGGTACTGGTATGTCGCAATACAGCCTTATGTGTATACTGTATGTACCTAATTAGGACTATTGAAGAGATGGAAAGACAGACGGAGATGTTGGATATAGGGCGTTCGTCGTACGTTTTTGCTTCGTCGTTCGATAATGACATACGGTTTTCGAGGACGTTACCTTTTTCTACGTTTCTTTTTTTTTTTTCTTCTTCTATTTCTTCTCAATAGAGTTTATACAGTTTGTATACGTCAAACAGAGGTTCACGGTGGAAACTCGGTGGCAAGAAAGGTGACGTGGAAAAACGATACGATAGGTAGAGCAGAGAATGAAACCGTGTCTTTCTCTATCTCCTTCCTTAATATCACGTATAGCATACATACACAAATACATAGACGGGATGCGGTGCGACAGCAGTGACTATCTTATCACTCCAGGCTACACCCTAAGAGGCGTGAACGATATTTTTCCTATTTGCTACGGAAAGTACAGTGGTTGCCGGTGATGATTGACGAGCGACCCTTCGAAAGGTCAGCCTCCAACGTTTTTAAGGTCAACGCAAATAGAAAGGGCGAGATATGCCGATGAGATTTCACCGGTTTCCTTGGCAGAGCATGACTCGACTGGGGACGGTTGGTTGTTCAGAGTTCAAAGTAGATATCCTTATCCATCGTCGACCGCAAAGGATATTCCGAGAAACCACGAGTCAGAAGGAAACGGTAGGCGCTGTTGTTCCTCCCAGCCGTTTTAGTCGTTTACTTTATTCCGTTTTACTTGGATTCTCACGAGAAACCGTCCGATTAGTAAGCAGAATAGTTAAACTGTAACTAATGAATAACGGTACCAAAGTTGCCGGACTCTTGCGTTCAGCCGTTTATAATTTTCTCTTCTTTGTCGTCGAAAAAACTTGCCTCAGAGTCGAGGATGACCGTCGTCGTTCTTTCTTTTTTTCTTCTTCTTCTCATTTCGGAAAATTCATGGTGAACGCGTAGGGAAGAGGGTTAGCATTTCAAAGGGGGAAGTTAGAAAGGAATCGTAGAAGATTCCGTCGTTCGATAAAAAGAGTCAGTAACCGTGGAGGCGAGTAACGGCGTGCATACCTTACATATACGTTAGGAAGGGGATGACTCGAAGGGACATTGCTCCCTGGCCTCGCCTGCCCTGCTCTGCTCTGCTGTGTCCAGAAAGGATCCACCTATCGTCCTGCACTCTCACGGCCCTTACGGACCGTGACACCTTGAGTTCGGCTCCTTCCGGCGGCAGGTACCTAGCAAGAAACACTTCCTGTTCAATTGCCTCGGGAGGATGGTAGAAAAACGGAAGGACGAAATCGCTGTTTCGGTATATAAGCGGTGTATCCGTCGATACCATGATTTACTTCCACCACTTATTAAAGAAAAAATTTATGATTTTCCCTTGTAACGCCAAGCGTAATATACTTTGGAAACAGTGTGTATACATTCATTTTTCACTCTCTGTCACTGGAAAATCTCCGAGGCGCACCGTGAAGCCGCAGAGCTCGGCCGCAGGATATTCGAAATTAACTCATGGCCGAAAATAAAGGGCTCGTGTGGCAGATCTTAAGTGGCTTTCGAGCGGATTCACCACCCCAACAGGTGGTTACGGCAGTTCGACCGAAAGATAAAACATTCCACCCCCACGAACGACGCGGCTGGTCCTGGGTACCCCGTTTTCGGCTACGAACCTGCCTTCGACTTTTCTATCCCTACGCTTCTCTCACGACGCCTCTCCCGCCTTACCACCCAACATGGACTTTCTATCCCCGGGCTGCCTTTCAGCTTTTTTCCCTCTGCCGCTTCCCTTCCCTCCCCGTTCTCCTCTTCATCGTCCATCCCACCTACTACCCAGCTATCTATCCACGTTACCTACGTGACTATCCGCATCCCTATTCCTGACTTCTAAATCTAACCCTAGCTCTAACCCAACCTGCAGGCGCCCTTATACCCAGACGGCGGCGTCATGGATGGGGAGGTGTATATATATCCCCACCACGGCATCCCTCATCGAGGGGTCGTTGATCCCCCAAGGACAACGACCTTGCGTCTGCGGCAGCCAACCGTTCGAACGGTTCTGGGTTCCCGGATTCCTCGATTACCAATATCTTTCACTCGTCGCTTCTCTCTTTCTTACCAACTTCCTACTTGCACCCCAACTTTGTTCCCTTACCCCCACCAGGAACCCTCGGCAACGTCTCGCCGCGTCGCGTCGGCTCCCTTTCATTTTCCTTTCCTTTCCCATTTTCTTTCGCTCCGCTCCGAGAACGAATTTTTCTTCATCGATCGCCTATCAATGTCGGTATCACCGGGTTTCGAAATTGTCCAAAGAATCCGGGGCGAACGTCGGCGTTCGAAGCGGTTCGCGCAGGTAACAGAGATCGTCGAGCAGATCCTTCGCCGGGGTCATTGGGTTTATAGAATCATAAACGAGCGAACCGCTTTTCAAATTGTAGGAGAGTATGAAAAATTCATACGAGTCCGTCATCGATATGCATGACTCGACCCCGACCCGCATACCTCTCCCACCGTTCTTCCCTGTTTGTTGTTCCCTTTCAGTAGTCGCACGCATAGAAACATTCGTAAAACCCTCGTTGTCGCATTGATCTCTTACGAACGTGCATTCAGAGAATCGTTCGATTCTCTGTAGTTCAATTTTATTCCCTTATCTTCCCGATATAACGTCCTCTTCTAAATGACCGAATTTCAAAGTTGGTAAATGGAACGTCAACTGGTTGCAAAGCTCCGACACGAATTCGAACGTGACTGATACCTGGTATGTTAAAACATAGCCATAGTTCTCTATGTGGGTGGACGGGTGGGTGGTCAAGTACACACGTAGGAACAGAGTTGGTACACATGTACGACATATCTTCGCATACACCAGCGTGCATGATACGTACAGCGTTGGCTGTCCGGGCGCGAGTTGGGAGGCGCGGTGACGTAATCTTCGAAGGGAAGGAACAACATCGCCGTTGACCTACTAAAGACTTCACTTTTCTCTCCGTTCCTTTACAGCCCTATCTGTTCTTTTCCTTCCACGATATACGTACGATATCGTTCGAAAAATTTCAATAATTTTTCCAATTAATCGTAACCGTCCAGGTATAATATCTCCTGCTAGATACGTGCAAGATATTGTTCTAAACAGTGATAAGAGTTTCTTCGAAAGTTAGATTAGTTACGGAGTAACAGTCACGTACTGGAGGCATAGTAAAGTCTGTGAAGCGAGAAGAATAAAGGCGCGACAAGTGCTATGCCAGAGAAATACCAAAGTAGGTCCTACAGCTCTCTCCATGGACCACCCTATCGTTACGCTGCGGTGACTTCTGACGCGTGAATACGCCCTTTGTTCCTTCCTTCCCTCTCCGTTCCACGTGTTCCCTTTCATTTCTCCTCCCTCTCGTCACCCCGAGAGACGGCAGGTAAGCAGGTAGACAGGTAGCGGAGGCAAAGTCAATTTCAATTCGATTGAAAAATACCTAAACTCGTATTGTCCGGAATAGGGTAGCGTGGTTGAGCCGAGGGATTACTCGAAATAGGATTACCAAAGGCACTTTACACCATCCACGATACCTTTCCCCACCTGTTCGTTCACCGTTGAATCGAAATTCTCGTGGTATCCGAATTAGAAAATATATTCTCATCAAGTGTACGGAAAGTTAGGTCGGTTTGTTGCTGGTTAAACGTGTAAATTCGCCGAGGAAACACGGATGCCAGTGGCTATGTAGTTTCTTAGTTCGCTACGGACCAGTCGGACGTCTCCCGCTGGCTATGGCGTGTCGGGGTGGTTGCAACAGGTTGTTGCTGTACCAGCACCATTACCAGCGGCTCCCTTTGGTCCACCAGCCAACCGGACTAGCTTGGTTAGCCAACAATCATTTAGGGAATCCCCGCGATTATGGCGAGATCCGTCTGTATGCCCGGGACCGGCTGCGAAACTAGGATTAGTCGAGAATTAAGAATTACGTAATCATTTGGAGATGATCCAACGAGGTACGAGTTGCGAACGGGACAGGGATTCTACGATATCTATACATTGACGAAATTTATCATTTAATTGTAGAAGGGATGAATTTTCCTGAGAAATCAAACGTGATTTATTTTACCCTCCCAGAGACACTGGCATCAATATCGTTCCACTTTTCTCTGATATCTTCAAAAGTGATAAGAAAATATCTCTCTATCTTCTATTATCACCCTTAGGGAAGGGCATTGCCTTGGACTTAAGCAAACACGTGTGATCTCGGTTTGGTAAGCAGAAGGAGGGCAGGCAACCGCTTCGAGGAAAGACTTTCCTTAATTTGCTCCAGTTTTAGGCTGTTAGAACGGTGAAGCCGAAGGGGAACACGGAAGGATCCCTGTCGAAGCGCAACCCCACGCCGCGAACGAGTAGAGAAGCCTCCGTAAAACGTCGAGAAGATGAGCAGGATGCAGTGGACGTAGCCTGACGTAATGCGGTGTGGGAGCGGCGTAGCACTGGGGAAGGGTCAATGCCCCAACAACCCTGTACAAGCGAACGAACCTGGCACCATTACTCGGAAAGCTTTCCTAAACCCCATGGACTCTGTATAAATTTCTCCGAAAAATTGGCTATTAAATACACAGATTGAATCTACGATCGGAAAATTCAAGGGACAACGGCTTCGAATAGAAGCAAGAGTAGCTATCGAAGCCATAAGAGATCTAATTCCTCTTCTATCGATTGACCAGCAGTTGCATGCAGAAACTAGAGAGAATAAAATTGAATTTCCTAATTTACACGATAGCAATGAAGTCAGTTGAACGATAAATGATGATGCTGTCAATTGAAACAACAGATAACATCAATCTATGAACAAGCAAAGCGTTATCGGTCTCGCGTAAACATTATAGGAATAATTCTTCAGAGACAAGGAATACATTCTATCTTTCTATGATGTTCTCCGTTCTAGGCTTGATTCTATGGTGGGCGTGTAACGACGAAGCCATTTACAGAGTTATTCTCCCTGTACAATCTCGAAAATTTCTTCGCCTCTCAACGAATTCTTACCAGGTGGGCGTATATTGTAATAAAAAAAGAAGGAAGATAAAAAAAAAAAATTACGACCACTGTGAAGAAGAACGGCCGGAGAAAACTACGAATTTCGTGAAACCCCATTCCACGCGTAAGGATCGAAGGCTGAGTGAGCTCTCAGGTGATACCGTTAAACTGACTTCCGTCTGCCCACCTACCTACCTACCTACCTACTTTCGTCCTCGTACATCGTCCGGCACCGTCCGAGCCGCGTATTTCGCAATCCACGAGGAGAGAGAATATCTCGAGTCAGGGGCTCAAAATATTTGAACCAGTCTCGACCACCCACCACTCTAAATTCGTTCGACGACTAATGGCGCAAGGGGGCGATGAAATATTGCGGCAAATTGACGTCGCTTGCTGTAGCGAAGTTTGCTATTTTTTTTTTATTTTTATTAAAAATATTACCCCTGGTATTAAGGTTGATTTGAAGTTGAAGATAACTGGGATAAGTGGGTCGTTTAATTTTGGAATTGATTTTTAACGATATATCAGTGAAACGAAAAAGATTGTTGTTACACGTGTTGGCAGATTACCATAGAGGGCGTCGAGATACCAGAAGCATGTTGGTACCAGCAAGCTGGCCGATCGCGGCGACGAGAATCCAGCGTATAGAATAGGTCACACCCTCTGGGGACCATTATTGCCGAGCACTGTACGTGCACGTGACTTGTATAGGGTCGAGACAAGTGGGTTGGTGCAGTCGTTACTGTTGTCCTCGGTACCCCCTGCCCGTACAACGACCCCGCATGTACGTACTCTCCTCGCGGTGCACGCGTGCACGCATGCATGCACGTGACGGGAGGCTCGGCACGGCGAGGCGCGAGGCGTAGGTTGGTGACAATGAAAAAAAAAAAAAAAAAGAACCTTCGAATCAGAGTGAATCCCTCTTCGATTATCGTAGGGTTTGCGCATACCCTCTCCGTGTATCCGAATAACGCCGCGAGGAAATGCAGCGATTTTAAAAAGAGAAATCAACCACCTATTATGACGAGTGTATTCGCAACGATCCGTGGATCATGGAATTCTCACGAGGATAAATCGAGCATAATGCTTGTAGAAATGGCTCGCGCCAGTTTCCCTCGACTCGGCGTGAGCCGAGAGGTGAAACTAGAAAGGGTTCGACTCGGGGAGAATTTCAAAAGTCCCGCGCCGATAAACTCGTTCGACGGTTACGTGGGCGCGATGCCACGGGTTTGACGTGAGAGCGCGCGTGTTCAATCGAAATTGCGTCAGGCGAAGCGGCGGGGTCACGTGGGCTAGACGAAGCGGGACCAAGGGTCACGAGAGACAGGAAACGGTAGTATCGTGTACCGGATGTCGTAACTTCCGAGTCCTTTGGCCTCGGTGTTTCCCTTCTGTACGATACTCGTCCGACGTTGGAGACCATTTCCACCGGGGGCAGATTTCCTATCGTACGAAATTTTGAAACGCGCACGAATCAGAAGCGTTTAAGATGCACGAGTGGCTCGGCTGGTTGGCTGGCTGGCTGGCGAGCGCCCTAACGCGCCCTCCTCGAGAGATCAGCCGACCGAGTAATAGAACGAGAGAGGGATAGAGAGGGAAAATGAGAGAGAGAGAGAGAGAGAGAGAGAGTACGAGTGAGGTCGTACAGTCGAGGTTCTCTGATAAGAGGGACAGAGAGAAAGGGAGAGGGAAAGAAAGATAGAAGGAGGGAGGGAGAGAGGGAGGAAAGAAAGAAGGGAGAGAAAGGGACGGTGGCGAGAGAACGAGAGGGAGGACGCCGCGAGGGGAGGGAGGAGGGTATAGTCGTCGTGAGCTCCTTACAGTGCATTGCCTTTACGATCCCTCGAGTCCCCGTCACACCCCGTGCCCCGACAAATCGCGTACGACGTGCCTCTCATGAAGAGATCCACGAAACCAGCTTCGCCGTCGAGCGATTCGGGTCGTCGAGATTCATCGAGAGGAAGAGTTTCTGTATGCGTGACAATGAACACACGAAAGTAGCGGATACGTGTGCGAGACCGTACAGGGTATACCGCACCCCATGGACTTAGCCGATCTTCACGGAGCAAAAGAGCGCTGATCTCCTGCGCGACCACGTTCTCCTTTCGTTCCCCTCGAGAACACTGAACTCGCGTCTACCGTACAGTGGAGACTTTCACCGGTATGTTGTACGCGTTTCGAGGGTAACAAGATTATCACGTTGGCCTCACTCGATTCTCAATTTACGCTACTCCGTCCAAAACACACGCCGAGGCTCTTTATAGTAACTGTATCCGTACCGCCTTACACTTATAATTGGGTTCAAGTATCAACCATAAAACTTGTAAACGCGTTTAAATGCTCTACGGCGGAAGAAAAAAAAAGGTTCGTTAGACGATTGTAAATCATGACGAAGATACCGAGGTCTTTGGGGTACGTTCCGATATCATTGTTCAGGTATAAAGATCTGTACACCTTCGAAAATGATTTACAAGTCGAAATGGTTTATAGCATCTAAAATAGGCTCTTCGAGTAGGAACTTTCGAAACAGCCACGTTTCACAGCACACGAGCGCCTTCACAAGAGGGGAGTACAAAGATGTTCTCGTCCCCATCCCCACCATCCCCATTCGCTCTATCTTGCTCGGCACGTTTCTCATCTCGATGTCACGACAAATACGTCGCTTCCTTGTCGTCCGCATCTGATAATATATAGTTTTGATACGTACCGTATGTACGTACATGCATATATGTACCTGTTTGGTTTGTTTCCTGAAGCCGTGTTGTAGGTCGTGATAAAGAAAGTCGGCAAAGTAGGAAAAGAACGGGTTGCGCAAAAATAAAACGCTTGACTGATAAAAAAAAGGTGTGACGTCCAGTGTTAGTCAAGTGGTAGCGGTAGTACCGTAACTCGTGGATTCGTCGGTTGTCCTGTTTCACCTGTGCCTGCAGTTCACGCCGGTTCACGCCCTTCTTCTTTTGCACCGCTCTCACTAACGGTTAATCGACGTCGACCACTTCTTTTGCCGTTTCAAAGAAAATCAACTGCACTGCTATCACCATCTACCGGAAGTAGCTGGCAACTAATCTCGCTTCGCGCGGTTCTTCCCCGCTCACGCCACGCCGTTTCGAATGAATGATTCCGAACCACTCGCAAAATACGTAGCCTGAAATATTGAAATAAATTAAAATTCAAGTCTTAAATGAATTGTTTAGATGTTTAAAAAAATGGTGCTGCTAGTTGACAAAATAAAATTAAGACAGTTGTTAAAAATTCCCGTTCGATATAAAAATCCAGACCACCACTGGGTTTGTACTTCCCTAACCTTTTAACTACAATTTAATTTTATCCTTTGAAATAGTAAACATAATTTTATTTTTCTAGTCTGTACTTAAAAAGAAGAAATCACACACCGATAAAGCGTTAAAACATTTCGATGAATTCTATAGTACTGTTTATGGAAATAATTGGGAACACATACGTGCTGCATTGTTGAATGAAAGGCATAAATACGTAGCTGTTGTAAATAATTTCAGTGATACGGATATAATACGATCTGAGTTGGAGGTATGTTATTTCCGTAAAAACAGCCAAAAAATTAATAATACCTAATAACAAAAACTTATTTTAGTTACTTGGTGCAGTACACTTAAAATCTCTGTATGAAGTTCATAAAGAAAATACTGAGCGCTATAAAATTATTAAAAAATCGCAAAACTTGAATGAATCTGACAATTTCAATGAATCAGTGAGCGATTTAGTAACTAAAGCTCATTTAGCAAAACTTGAATCAGTTTATCCTGAGGATCATCCGCATTTACATGAACTGTTAAAATCAGAAGATACAAAATCTGATACAAAAGACAGTGGACCACAGGAAATAAAATTGCATTCTATAGAGCAAGAATTAAATGATGTTCAGATTGATCACAGTCGTATTATTGATTCAAATGTAAATTTGTCTCTACTCCAAGAATATGTTCCTGCAACAAAAATAAAGGGTCAGTTTGATTGGTTTTTGAAATCAAAACTAAAATGGTATACTTATATAAATTTGTGTTACAGGTTTGGATGACTGGGTTCTGGAATCAGATCAGTTCAAATTTTACACCCAAGCTCAGGATTTCAAAATAGAAGTGGTCAAAGAATCTACCATATCATTTCCAGAACATTTACATGTATATACTTTTGAAGGAGGAAACTTCACCAAATTTCCGCATCCTCCCTTAGGACCTACTGGTGTGCGAGGTCGATAATAGTTTCTTTGAATTATTATAATAAATTAACCCTTTGTGGTTGTAAGTCAAAATATACAATATTTAGGATAAGGGAGGCAGGAGAGATATATCGCAATCGGTAGAATAACCATGCAAAGGGTTAAAAATGTGCATATAATTTTCAAATTATATGTGTGTAAATATCACTAATAGAAATTCCTTTTTTATTTAGATTACTATTTATTCGATGGTGCATCTATACTTCCCGTACTAGCTCTAGATATACAGCCAGGCGATGTTGTACTCGATATGTGCGCTGCACCTGGTGGAAAAGCCTTAGCTATTATCCAGACACTCTACCCTCGTCTAATAGTCGCTAATGACAATAAGCGCGCTAGAGTAAAAAGGATAGAAGAAGCTATAGCGCAATTTCTTTCAGATATGGCTGAATCTCAAAAAATGGTAGTTGTAACAGAAAGGGATGGTAGAATTATCGATGAAAAGAATGTGTATAATAAGGTGCGAATTGTAATATTTCACATTATTTGTTTAATATTTAACATCTAGATTCATCAATCTGTTTAGATTTTAGTTGATGTGCCGTGCACAACGGACAGGCATTCTTTGCATTCTAATGACAACAATATTTTTAAACCATCAAGAATAAAAGAGAGATTACAGCTACCGCAGATTCAGACTGACATATTAACGTGGGTGCATAAAATTGCGACTTCTTTTTCATTTGATAATATTCAATTACGGACTTTATTTTTATAGAAATGCATTGAAATTGGTGACAGTAGGAGGTACAGTTGTGTATTCAACGTGTACTCTTAGCCCTATACAAAATGATGGCGTCGTACAAGTTGCATTGAAAAAAGCGTGGGAAGAGGCTGGATGTGTTATGGTCGTAAAGTAGGTACACAATATATTTTTCCAAGTAATTATTACGTTTGGTATAATATCGTATTTTCTCCTGATATATTGTATAATATTTGCAGGGATATGTCCGAGCCGTTGTTACCGTTTCAGTGTGTATATAATTTCGGTAAAATCGATTTAAAATATGGCCATATTGTTGTTCCCAGTTTAAACAATAATTGGGGTCCGATGTATTTTTGTAAAATGGTAAAAGTACGGTAAAGGTAAGTAATTAGAACTGTCTCCGCGTTTATAATATAAACATTATTGTATATATGTATAAGTTTATAGTATTTTAAATAATAATAATATTTAATATAATTTCGTAATATAAATATTTGTACTTGTTCCTGTCATTAGAATAAATAACAAAATATTTAAGAATTTTTTATGAAAATAGTTAAAATCGAAACTAGTTTTAGATTTAATAATATCATAATTCTATTATGTACAAGAAGCTAATCAGTTTGAGTATTAAAATCATACTTATTTTTTAATGTCCTCTTTTAGCGGTAACGTCTGATCGCTTGCTTCTTCATCGGTTAGTTTAGTTTTATTCCAGGGTTGTTCTTCTCCGCTTCCGAAAATAGTGTAAACTATTATTTCAATAATGTATAAACCAACAGTTACGAAAAATATGATTCTCCATGCTCCTATAGTTTGCTATTAAAAACAAAAAATATTAAACAGTTCTCTACAGTTCTGTATAGTTAATCCTGAAATAATTAACAATGAATTTTTATAAATACTCACGTTTCCATGTGTCAGTTTTCCCACAAATATCGGCACTACAAATCCAGGTATAGTGGCAACACAGTTTGTAATAGCAACGAGAGTTCCTGCAAAATTTGGGGCAATATCGATGTGATTAGCCAAGAAACCGCTATACATTCCACCGATGCAAGTTACTCCAATGGTCATTAGTACAACAGCTAGTGTTCTATTGCATCCAACATATGATACTCCTATTAAGCATATCATAGGGATCACAGATGCTGAAATAAAAATGCATTAAATAATCTCCAGTTAAATATATTTCATGTTGCAGCACACGCAGGGGTGATAGATAAGCTTACAGAGTAGCGTTGCAATTTTTCGAGAACCTGTTACCGTGATCAACCCTTTATCCTGCATAATGGCTAACGACTTGCTTAGAATCATAGTGAAGAACCACATGCATAAGAATGGCATGGAAGAGAGGCCAGCATTCTGCAAATGGAAAAATTATTTAATATCGTATGAAAAAAAAAAATTAATACCAAATCTTAAATAATAATATTCACCGAGCTCATGTCAAATTTCAATATCTGATTCATGAAGGTAGGCAATTCTATAAGCAACATGTACCACCCAAAATTACTGCAGAAATGGGCGATCAAAATTGCCATGAATGGTTTAGATCTCAATACCTCACCCCATGGGACTGGTAATTTCTGCAAAATTAAGAAACAAATGTGACATATTGAAAGATGATTGCCGAGGTTTAACGAACCTCATTGTGTTCGCCGTTATGTCCATGGTGACCTTGGGATTCAAGAATGTAATCCTTCTCTTCTTGGCTAATAAATCTGGTCTGTTCTTCAGGAGTATCCGCGATCATTATCCACCAAGCTGTACACCAGATCAAGCAGAGTAATCCTTCGATGTAAAATATCCATTTCCATTCGAAATTCGCAGCTAGTATACCCGTTAGAAGGATGGAAATCACGGTACCAAGTGCAGTTCCTATTGATAGAAAAATAATATATCTAAGGTAATTAAAATATCCACGTTCACTGTACAAGTGTAATAGAATCTAAGACATGGAAATGTTAAATATTGAAAATAAAGGGATTATTTTACCTGCATAAACAATGGAAGCAAGTACACTTCTTTCATTAGGCGGTGCCCATTTAGCAATCATAACGTGCATCGCAGGAAATGTTACCCCCTATATGAAAAACTATTATAGCAATATTATACATGGCAGTATAAAATAATTATGATTTGAGATACTGACTCCACCGATTCCTTGAATAACTCTCATCACGATGAAAAGAGAATAATGTAGTTGGGCCGCAACAGGTGATAAAATAGATGCTATTACGTTAAGGAGTACAGATCCATTCATCACCCATTTTGCAGATAACAATTCGGCCATTCTTCCACCCGGAAGCAAGGATGCCATGTACCCCCAAAAGTACGAAGATAAGATAAGACCTTGCAAAGGTTCGTTCCATATAAAAGGGCCATCCTATAAATAAATAAATTTCACATAGTCACAATGATACATTATAATTTGCAATAATTAAGGGTTGGTCCAGATGAAAATTTATTATGTACCTCGTCAACGATTTTCGTCACGTTGGAAGAATTATCATCGTGATGACATTCTTCCATTGAATTGATAATTGCATTTGTATCGTTCGATTCCAGCTGGTGTAATGTGGATGATAATTTAACAGCAGTATGATTCACCATCGCAACGATTGCCACGCTTACGTTGACTTTGAATCCATAAACGATAGCAAGTCCGATAGAACCCATGATTGCCATTAGGTATCGTATCGGAAAGACTATCCCTCCTGTTTCTGTAAATACATAAGTTCCATTCGTCTATAAATAGAATAGGGACGTTCGTCTGGAAGTAGAATCATCATTCCAAAGGGTCATGTATCCGAAGGGAAATGGTGCCACAAGGTATGAATGGTGGAGGACGTGTCGATCGACATGAAGCACAGGTGAACGTGCTTTCAGGTCCTCGACTTCTTCGTGAGGCCAACAGCCAGGGGCGGATCATTTATTAGGTCATCTTAAAAGTTCGTGCCTTTAGAAAACGTTCTTCATGGTATGCATACTTTTTTACAGGGAAAAACCCTATGTACAATTTTGAAAATTTTTCTTATTAATATTAAGTACTTGTAAAATATTTTATCTTCTCCTACAGTGAATTAATTTGAATTTGACTATTTTAACTATCATCGAATAAAAATGTGGATAATTAAACTATGAACAAATTTGTAATTGAAAGTATTTAATATTTGTTGTTATACAGGAGGAATCGAGTGTACTCAATCATCGTTTTCAATATTCAAATACAATTTTTCGAATACGTTTATTTCCAGTCGTAATATAGGTCAACAAACACATAAAACGTGGTTCCAGAATATCCTCTGTTCGCTCGCTGTCAAATAAATACCAGCCAATATACAGCGATTAAAGCGACGAAAAATTAGTTCAAGATCGATCCATTAACAAAATTTATGATTAACATAATTATGTGGTGAATCATTAACGGGAAAATTGTGAATGAAATATTAGGACCAGATGCTTAGGTCTCTAAATCCATCGCCACTCTATTTTTTGAAATTAAAAGAAAAAATAATGATAACATCTGAAATAGCTAGGACAATATATATCAACGAGGAAAATATTTATAAATATTTAATAAAAGAGGAAGAATTTTCACGGTTGGTCCACCAAGTGCACGATGCCCTAGATATTTGCGTGAATTGAAACGTAAATTAGTATAAATGCATTTCAGGATGCAAACAACATCGACTATGCAATTGAACGGAATTGCATCAAGTTGCATCGCACGATGGAAACACTTCGCGAGTACATTATACCTTTTCAAATTGCATCATGCGTTTGGTCTTTCAGTTATCAGGAAAAATGAAACACACGCAACGCATTCTCTTAAGTCTAATTTTAGAACTGATTAATTCTAACATTAGAAATGAAAATACATGAACCAAATTTAACTAAAGCATCCAAAAGAACACTTGTTCCCTACGGATCTGGATCAGAGGACATTTGAAGGTCACGAGGATATTTCCGTGTAAGGAAAAATCGATTGAATTATCCGCTACAGATTTTTCTTTTTTAAAAAAGAAATACACAATTTATAATTCAAAACACATTTAAGATGACTGAATATAATTACTTACCCTTATAATTACTCTTCCCAGTCATGATTTCTCCCTCGAGTCGATGACACAATAATTTTACGATTTTAAACCGATGAAATTTCGTAATGCACTTTCCAATGCAGTTTTAAAATGCGATGCAGTAAGTATACAATCACCTGTTGACCACTGACTATAATCACTTTCAGTTGCTTTAATTTGATGAGACAATTAAATTTGAAATATGTTGTAACTTTGATAATTATTGAATTTCAGGGAATGTCGACCGAGTGTATCAAGGAAAATGATGAAAATGCTAAGATTTGTTAAGATACGACGTCTCGTCCGTGGAGCGTGGTACTCTGAAAGCGAATGCGATGCTTCAGGTCCTCCAAGGCTTTCGAAGGAACACCGGGCGTGCGCTCCTTCTATAAATGCCCTAACCCGCACGAACGCAGGCTCGAATTTACCGGCTCGAACACCTTCCCTGTGTCACATACTTCGTATTTACGTTGAAGCCGATCATCGATTCTCCCAGAAGCATTTCCGAGGAATTCGACTTTCGACGGCAAGCACGTACGCCGTGTATCGTAAAACGCCGGTAGTAGGAGGAGATAAAATTTTGAAATGAACGAAAAAGAAAAATTCTTTCATTCCGATGGTTAGCACGAGGTATTCTTAACTTTAGTAGATGGATTGTTATTGTATGAATTGTATTTTATTTAAAAAAAAAAAAGAGAGAAAAGTCCAGGTGAATATTATTTCTCTCATTAATTTTTTTTACAATGTTCTATGATTGTATTTAATTTCTTTCCTGTAAAAGATATAATATATGCATACAAGATGATTATAACAAAAGCATCTCAAAACGGTGGACAAAAGTGAAGTTGCATTCACGAGGAACGTGTCGTGCAATTTACCATTCAATAAAAATTTTCGGACTGACAGAACGTCAGCAGACAAAGAACGATGACGTTCATAAATTTCAATGTATAAAGAAGTCATTTTCGGATTTTTCCTGTTGCAGATGATATAGAAACATGAGCGTGGAATCAGAATCATCTGATAAACTGGGAGAGATCTATACTTGGATCGAACAAATAACATTCTCCAAGCCGAAGAAAAATTTGGCTCGAGATTTTTCTGACGGTGGTAATGAAAGAAAGTTGATTATTATACAATCGTTAAGCTGTTAACACCTATTAAGGCTTAGTTTAATAAATTTTAGTTTTCATGGCAGAATTGTTAAAACGATATTATCCGAAATATGTGGACATACATAATTATATCCCTGGGAATAGTGTTGCAAAGAAAATAGATAATTGGTGTACATTAAATCGCAAGGTATTTTCGAAACTTGATATGAAATTAGGAAAGGATTTAATTAAACAGTTGGCTAATTCGCAACCTGGAGTGATCGAAAAGGTCTTGATCGACTTGCGGGCTAAAATTCTGAAGGACTGCAACGCTGATAGGAACTCTTTGTATTCTGAATTCGACGAAACCGCGAAGAATGGTAAGTGAAATGTTATGGTAAATCGTTGAAAAACTTTGAACAAAATATTGCTGTTTAAGACGAAGTTAAGTCGGTGCTCAATCCGGAGGAAATAGCAAATAAAACAGTACCTCGCCATGTATTTGTCCGACTTAAACAAGAACTAGAAGATAAAAATGAAGTTATTAATTCACTTCATCAGAAACTCTCTCATCTACAGTCTCTGATAAAGCTCAAAGATCAACGGATTTCCGATCTTACGTCGCAGATAATAAAATCCAGCGACTATAATTCGTCATCCGCAAATATAAGCGTTACAAATTCCAAGTATCGAAACAAAGTGTAATGGATAAATTAACGTCGAAAGAATATTATAAACAGTAATATACCCCAAAACTTTTCATTAGTGTATTTAACTTAATATGATATATCAATGAAATTCATATACTCATAAATGTTTTAAAGTTTGTAGCTGATTAGACTTGAGTCTATTATCTTGCTGACTTTTATATCACATTGTCAATAACTCAATTCTATCTTTTTTCTTCAGACTTTTTAAATTCATTGAAATCCATTGTACATGAACATAAATCTTATATTGGTGCTCTCATACTAGGTGGAGAGACTAAAATCACTCCATCACCACGAACAAAGAGCATAGAAATATTTCTCTTGGTAGTACGGTAAACTTCTTCATATGTTTCTTCATCTATTTCTACTGTAGTTACAGTCTCTTCTGCTTCCCCTAATACCATATTTAAGTGCTGATCATAAGCCTAAAGTAAAAGTTTTTTACATAGTTAATAGATCTGAAGGCTGAAAAATATGATAAACATTTATACTCCATGGTTCTAAAAAAAATATTTACATGTAATCTGCCTCGTAATTCTCGTTCATTTCTCATTTTAACATATATTCTTTCATCGAGACTTAATCTTATAAGATCCAATGGTTCCTTAACATTTATTGCTGGCACCTAAAACGAATTATGTGTTAGGTTATGATAGGTTAGGTTTATTTTCGGAGCTTCAAATAAAAAATTACCTGCTCACTTTCATCACCCATTGTATACCTAAATTCCTAATCGTTTATAAAATTATTTCTAATTTATCAGTAACCGTAAAGTAAGGATTTGAAATGTGCGCAACAATAAACGAAACGTTTACTTGTCACACAATTAAAACATTGCGCGGGGGCGCTATTTCGACGTGCGAAATGTAGTTGAAATTTTTGCCGCTAAAGGGCCCAAATTTTATGCCAAATTTATAAGGGTTGCAGAAAATAAATATGTTAGGGGATGCAGAGATGTAAGGGATAGAGGGATTAAAGGGATGCAGGAATGTGGGGATACGCATTAGATAATTAATTGAAACTAAAAAAGAACAGTTTAATTTTCCCGCGCATTGGTATTCGATTCGACCGTATCGAGGAACCGGCGCTAGTGGTCAACGATAAAAAATCAACGTAGCTTGAGGTATTGCTAGAGTGGACTAGCGTGAGAGAGCAGGCAACGCCATTTTCTCAATTCGCGGGTGAAGTCAGTGTGCGAGTGCGTGCATCATTTCGCGACGGATTTTCGGGTTTTGTGCTGTACGACAACGATATTAAGGGCTGTCGATCGGTCGTGGCGCGTTGACCAGTGTTATGCTTAAACACGCGGCCAGTTGTACGATGGATATAGCGAGTTTCGAGAGATCGAAGCGCTCCCGGGAGACGTGACGTCTTGTCAGTCGGCCTTTTCCCATTTCCCCTTCTTGGTGAGCTCCCGCAGGGATGGGTCGTGCAGAGTTATCGTTCATGATAACGTAACAGAGACTAAAACGAGTGTAATCTCCGGCCGCAACGAAAATTCTCACCGATCACGATTTCGCGTGTAATTAAAACTGTTCGTGGAAAAAAACCGGGACCCGTAGAATGATTCGTTCGGGCCAATGGGCGGAGGTTTAGGGCGGCACATGGCTGTTGGGGCGCCGGCTGTGCAGGGGGTGGTTTTCCCGACGCTAGCTCGAACTGACGAAAATTCATCAATCTCTCTGTCCAGTCATCCTATTATACTCTGTGCGTACGTGTCTCTCGATCGGGATCGTTTGTGATCGTGGCCGGTCACGGTTCGAATAACAAGTTCACAGTGACAGTGGAAAGAGAAGTACTCCGTTATATGTCTCGATTTTCTTGCCGAAGAGGAGGAGCTGGCAAAGCTTTTCGCCTATCGCGGATTACGCGTGTATACCGTGTGCCGCTGACAATCTTTATTCCGTGCACGTAAAGATCCGACTAAAGGACAACAGGGACGATTTCTGGACAAATAACCGGCGATCATTGCGCTACCGAACTCCCAGAGACAACGTAACGGGTAACGTAACCTTCCTTTCACATTTTGCTTTTGTAAATCTTATGCCCCTGCGAACCGTTTAATTTCACCTTCCTACCAGTGATTTATCAATGGACCGTTACCTCGTACGGAGCGTGTATGCGTCAGCATTATCGATTTACGGTTGTTGACATATTTCAGACCTGCCACTCTTCTTTTCCTTTTCAAAAACACGTTGCAATTCTTCCGACACTTTATTCCTTCGCACAGGCATAAAGTTTCAATGGCTATATAATTTAACCGATCGATGGCGGTTTATGCAGCTGTAAATAATATTATCGTTCGTATAAACGTTCGATCGATACGAAAATTCGAATATAAATCGAATTTATCTCGCGGTGATGTCTTACAGCCAACTTTACGTTGCATGGCGGTCGGTGATTAAAATTCGCCGTGACATTCATGCGGCAATTAACTCGACCGGCCTTTCGACCTTGCTGACATTTTAAACGTTTTCTACCCCCCAAGAAATCCGATAGCCAATTTCTCCCGTACTTTCAACGGTTAGCTCGCTAATCTTGGATCATCTTTTTCCGATAGGTCTTCCCATGCGTGTCACCGCTGTCATTCCGCAAATTCATCTCGTTCAAGCGTGTTAAAGCCGCGTTCACACTGCGTTGCGTTTTAACCCATTAACCCTCGTGCCGCGTTCAGTTAACCTAACTCCAAATGGAAATTCAATGCTCAATCGTTCTTTAATGAAATATAAGTACACAATGGTTAATAATAATAATAAAATACTTTCAATTTTTTTTTTTTTTTTAAGTAAATAAATACTTATAGTATTTATTCATAATCATAGCATTATAAGTAAATATTTATTTCAACTATCTATTTACATGTATTTTTATCTACAACAGAAATCTAATTTTAAAAGTTACTAGGTCAATCTAATTAGTGTTTTAAGAGTAAAGGGTTGAACCCTGCAACGTGAAATTAGAGACAGTAAAATCGTCCTGTTAGCGCGATACGGAATCCTATTCTTTGCACTGTTCTTACGAATGTAATTTATCGTTCGCGGTTGTGGTTTCTTTTCTTAGCAATTAACGTAGCAAAGGTATAGAATCATACAATTAGCGCAATAGCTGTCTGTGATTTACGCGTTGCATTTTTGTCGAGGAAAATGAATTTGAAAATTGAATTTTTTTTACGCCGTCTTCAATTATAATAACATTTTCTCTTGCTATAATGATATATTTATCGTGTAATTATACGATGGGTATTTGATTAACTGACTTAATTAGAATTAAGGCAAGGCGGTTACATCAATATCCATCAGATAATCGAGATTCAGAAATAATAATAAAATCATGACATAAAAGTATTACGGAATAATACTTGCGTTATACTGATTTCAAGCTCAAGGTTTAACGAAAATTACTATGTAAACGTTTGATCAATATTCTTAGTACAAAATGGCTGATTGACGAAACAAACACAGATACTTTTCATACTGTGCCGCTAATAATTCGATAGTCTAAAGAATGGAATAAAAGGTATCTCACCGTGACATTTGGTATTTTTCTGATGATGTAACTGTTACTTTCTACCATTCGGTCAAACGGAGCATCGCTATGCGACTGCACGTTCATGGTTTATAATTAGAAAATAATTAACCTTTCGCTTCGATTCGTCTTCGATTCTGTTTTGAGTTCAATCGATTTTCTTTTATCTTGGTTTTCTAAAGATCCAAAGGATTCTATTCAATGACAGACAAAAAGAAATTTAATAATTTCATGTCCTTTGAAACAAAGTTGAATCTTTCAAATAAAATTTGATAAATAATCTTCTGTTGGATTAAAATAAAAATATATTTCAGAAAATTTTCAGTAATTAAAGTGTTGATCTTACCTCGGCTAGAATTTATAAGAAATCATGAATTCTAATTAAACGTCGTCCATGTTAATGAGAGGAGTGGAACAGGTGGATGGTCGGATGCGAATGTTGACCCTTGGTAGTATGTTTACGACGTAACGGTGTACTGGGAAATGGTATGGACAAGCATAGTCGTTGAAACACGCTTGAGCGATTGCTTGGTGGAATTCGCGGTGGCTTTGCTACTTTCTATTTTTCGAGAAAAACACAGTCGAGCGGTTACGACGTATTGTCGGAATTGCATTCACCGTAGCTGAAAGATCTACTATTTTCTTCCATTTCTTCTTCTCTCGTTTCGTTCTTGCGCGTTCCTCTTCCGTCCCGTTCAATGCGTACGCTTGAATCCTCTGTCGCAGCAGACCGACAACTTTTTCATTCAGCAAGCACGATTTTCGAGTTGCATACCGTCTCCTCTTCTGCTTTTACTGTCCAAAGAAGTGCAGGCATGATTGTCGAAAGAGTATTTCAGTGTACAGTGATTGCCGTCTTAAACTGAAACTGCATTTCATATCTAAGCGCAGCTGCATTCTGATGCATCCAGATGCATTCTGATGCACTTATTGTTAGCGAGTGTGTATATACGATAGATTATAAGATAAATTATACAATGATTGGTATTTTACATGAAATAGAGATGCAGCTGCATTTGGGTGCATTTAGATGCATTTTCATTAAGAAAAAAAGAAATGAATTTATAACGATAGAGGAATAAAAGAAACAGAATTATTCTAATTATAAAATGTATTGTGACAGCTTAATTGCACCAACTTAATTAAACGTTTGAACTTATAAGGAAATTTCATTCTCACGTTATCAGATCGGGATTAAAATAAGTTGATTGAGGCAAAACGATTCGTTTACTGGTTGTCATTTCTCGAAAGTGAAAAGTGGTGATAAATTGCCCGTCACTTTGCTCCCGTTTGCAAGCCTTGCCCGAGTGGCATTGAAACCAATTTTGATATCAAGGCAAGTGCCTCACGGCATGGAAGAAAATTGCACCTCGATTTCCCTCTGCGTGCCAGTATTACACGATTACCCGTTGTTAGTCATCTCGGATAGATACTTGATTGGGATCTCTTATAATAGACCAGGAGTCGCTTCTGTATCCTATTTGTTTCAATATCTTCCTTCGAGAAAGATAAGATCGAGATTTGCGATTTTATTCAGCGTTAAATTAAATTTTTCCAAACTTGTCGCAATTGAAAATTATTTTCCTATGAGGTAATTAAAATTACCAATTCCATGGGACAAAAGATTAAGCAACACTGTTGAAAATGAAAAGTAAGAGAACACGGCTGCCACAATGGCGAAACGCGACCACCTTTTATCATCGGCAATCTCTGGTTAAATGGAGCATTAAATGGTTTCGAGCTCAGGTTTGTTACAACGATCAGCTTATCCAGCCGCGTATTGCACGCTCACCCCGTTCATTCCGCTAATCTTTGTCCCTGTAATCAGCGGCTCGCAGCTGCGAACCGTTGAAAAGTTGCTGGAAAAAGTAGATATTCGTTTACAAGAAAATAGTCGTGCTATTCGTAACGAAACGGGCGCCGCGTTCTCGCTTTCAATTTTATTGGTACTTGACGTAGCGAGTGCTCGACGTTAATTACACGCGAGAGGGATTAATTTAGATGGTATCGCGCATGCTGCTGATTCGAGTTTTCAGCTCGAAAGTAGAACGAACGATTAGTAAAAGTACCGCTCTACTCCTCCGGCTATGTGTAATTAAAAAACTCTGTAAAATTGATAATCAACGCGGCTCGTTTTAACCTTGCCTTTTAATTACTTGCGACCGTTTTGGATTAACAAAACGCTTTGTCGGTGGCTCGACTGGACACGTGTTAACCCTTTCGCGGAGCTGCAGAATCCGATTGAAAAGTATTGGGCATTGTTACGTATAATTAATCCTTTCCATCATTAAAATAAAATTCTGTTTAATTTATTCATAGCAGAACTTTCTCTATTCCAATTCCCTTTCATTTCGGCGAAAGTTCTTTCGAGCGGCTAAATAAGAAGCATTATTAAAAATTTCTTTGTAGATTCAAAATTATTATATTTATTGTATATATTTTGAAAATTCATTCTTTTCACTTTATGAAGGGTTTGCTATACCAGTAACAATGACCTGAATCGTACTCGTCTACACTCACGTGTACGCGTTTCCTACGTGCTCACCATTTTACTGCAATCGCAGCACTGACATCAGCTCGGTATGATCGGCGATGCAGCTGCAATCGTGAGCCTCGATCGGGGTATCATTGATCGAACGTTGTTGCGTGGTACTTTCGCATTGACCTGGCTGCGAGCCAGCCTTCCATCGCTTTTTTCGACCTCTCCTCTTCTCATCATTGTACATTTCCTCGGGATTTAACGTTGATTCAAGGTTTCAACCGGTTCTCTTTCCCTGGCACGATTCTTTATCGCTTGCTCTTTGCCGGTATTTTAATTTTCATTTTCATCGTTTTGCTCCTTTTTCTTATTATTACTATCTTTAATTTAAAGTAATAATATTCTGTGGAAGATTAACAATGCTCCGTTCCTAAGGGTTTCATTAAAATACGGCCTCTCTCCATGGTCCGCCGTCAACTATCAACCGTTTCACCACGAAAATTTTCGTCTGAAACGTCGTACGATGGAGCACGAATTTCCACGAAACAATCCCTGAAACCTCCCTTCTTCTATTATTCATGCATCCCGTTTTTCCCCCTTTTAATCCATTTTCCCGTGTCCCGTTTTTCCATCGGCGCACTCGACGCTCCCCTTCGGCCGTCAGCTCGCGAGATTGCTCGCGTTTTTCCATCAATTCGACCGCGTTAGCGGGCGAAGAATCATCGCGATTACACGTGAAACGCAGATCCCGCGAACGGGTAAATGGAAGATGGTTCATTCAAATCGTATGGAGACACGAATCGCGGCTGAAACACCTTGCCGTTGAATAGAATGCCGAGCGAGTGTTTCGCGAGAGTCGTTGAAAGATACCGGTGATTGCGGATGCAACGGGTTTTTATACCTGATGACATTTAAGAGGACGCAATTAATCGAGGAACAGTTGTTTTACTCGATACGTATCAGAGTTTCCAATGGAAATATTAAATTGTAGATAATTT